CTCGTAGGCAGCCTTAACCACTAGGCCACCGTTTCTTGTCTTAATACCAACCTCGCCGTATATACATTAGCCCGGTGGCCCAGTGGTTAAACGAGTTTTTTTCTAAATGGTTTTTCCCTAAAATATCATTTCAGGATGTCTAAGATAAAACCAGTTAAAAAAAAGTACTGTTTTTCTTCAAAAACCGGCGAAACGACCTAAAAAACGAATATACGATCTTTAATACAAACTTTAGTTGATGCTAACGTGGTATTCCGATCTTCAACGACATCTGTGATGAAGAGCATTTGAACTCCATCTGTCATGTTCTCTTCAGTAGAATCAAAACCATTAAAGAAATTTCTTCGCATTTACAAACGGTCAGCAGGAGTGTAATGGGGGGAAAATAAGGTGGCAGAAAATAATAGCATTAACATGATTTGTGCATATGATATGACGATTTTTTATTTGATGATTACACAACCGTTAATTGCCAGGCATCGATCGCTATTGCTGTTTCCCATGCTATCTTTAATTTTACATTTCAGAATGAATTGTTTAATGTTATATATGCGTTTAAAATCATGCGAAGACTAAGGTGCGTGATGCGTTTACTGATAAGGTATTAGCTTTATACGTTTTTTCTGCTTCATTTTTAAATGCATGCAGGATACAATTTCTCGACTAGTGTAAAATCTAAAAATATGCTTCGAGATGAAATCGCAGCCAATCTCAGCATTTAGTATACAACTTGTTTCTAAGTCTTCTTTTAGAATATCAAGCCTATTACAGTGATATACACTGTCTAAACTAAGATGCCCGGCTTAAAATGTTGTTTAGGCCTTTTTGTCCCGTTTGATTTTCGTGATCAACTTTGGGTTATCGCTACCAACAGATTTGCCAACGTTTCGACGATCTACGATAGAAAAATATGCAGAATTGAGCCAAGGATACAAACTAATGTACAATAAACATTTGCGGAATTAACTCTGGTCAAACCTTGTGATAGGCAGAATAGCATTTTCTTGATGGTTGCCTTCACTTTCTCCCAGAACAACGGTGTGCTGAGGGTATACAGGATAGGATTGATGGCTGAATTGATTGGTATGACGCAAATCGAAAACCACATGTACAACTCGTTGCCTCCGTCGTTGATTGCCCGAACGAGGGATAAGAGTAACAACATTGCGATTGGAACCCAGCAGCAAACGTCGGTAATACGACGGCTGCAATCGTTTTGCCATGGTCGTGTGCACACCAAGACGGGTGTTGTTCTTTGATTCTTTCGCTGAGGAATAAGATGAGTAGAACATTTGGCAGTAGGATACGATGAGGTAGATTGCAGCAATGAAATTCAGTGCTCCAAACACCGCGAGGCAATATTCCCATGCTATTGTGTCTTCACGGGGAGTTGAAGCGGCATACAGATGCTGTTGGTCCCGTAGAAACCCTCTCTGCGTAGGTTGTCGTAAAAGTACGAATCGATCATCGCGGGAAGGACGGCGATAACAGTGCAGCAGGCCCAGGTACTAAACAACAGAAAGACCGCAGTGCGATAACCGATCTTTCTGAATTCCATAGCGTGAACGATGTGCAAGAATCTGTCGTAGGCAATGAAGACCAGGGTGAAGACCGAGACCTCGCTTGATATGACGGATATTATACCAAATATCTTACACAAGATGCCTGAGCGCCAGCTGTAATCATGCTTGTAGTATTCACCTTTTGTCGCAATCTGCTGGTTGATTATTCCTGCTAAGTACACCCCCATGAGCATGTCGCTGAAACTAAGACTGCAAATGAACATATTTTGCACTCTGTTTTGATCGTCCTTCACCAACCGCATGAGGAGGGCAAAAATATTCCCTCCGATCGTTAGAACAACCAAGAACCACATTAGAATTATGAGCGCCTGATATTTTATCATTTCCTCACAACTGGCAAGACTATCAGCTGGGGCAACGCATTCTGCATCCGACAAGATTGCCTCCACAAAACAGCAATCTGTGAACCGATCTGTCGTCCTATAAATTACCATTATCTCAAATTAGCTGGTATATAGCAAGTTTCAAAGTTCAACTCTACTTGAAAATTAAAATGGTTAAATTGGTATAGCCGAGATCATATAGTACTAAATCTTAGTAGTGCTGGTTGTTGACTGACACGTTTGCAGGAGACGGCCGTTTAGCCATGCAGTCTCTATATTTATGCTTAAAATTTTTTTCCAACTGATATTGATTTCTGGCCCCATATTTTCCTGCCCGAAGATAAACTTGTTGACTAACTGACGAGTGGTGGGATGTCCTCTCCACTCACTTAAGATTGAACGCCGCCACTGCATTTCAACATTAAAAATGGAGATTGGAGCATTGTTGGGTGACACATTCATTAAGCATGCATAAACAACTAACAGATCTTTATATAATTTATATGCTTACAGATGCTTCAGGTTACTCAAATCTCTTAAAAGTTCGACCCAGTTCAGGATAATTAGACCAGGATTGGTTGAAATGTCCCTGTAAAAAATTGTGAGCCTTAAGTATATTATTTCAATGTATTTGGTATTGACGATATTTTAGGTGATGTCAACATCTCGGATGCTAGCTTTCTGGATTGGTTACCAGCGGAGCTCCTGGTCAACATGTCAACCAAATAAATCATGGCTCACAGCCCCACTCTCCCGTGTGCAAGAAATTTGTGGGGGAAAATAGTAGTGTTAATGCTCTAAGCTATATAGGCTTTATGTATTAGGTCAAAAGGAACCCAAACAAGTGAAACAACTGAAAATTAACTAAGTCCTCATTACGATGAACTTCGCACTATACTGACGTTCTAAATGCTGATTCCATCAACTATCGCTTGAATAATGTATATGCAGACACAAATTTTCTCGCGCGAAGCGACGAACCTTAATCAGACAAGTCCTTCACAAAATTGATATAAAAAAAATAACTTACAGCCGCTGCAGTGATCCTAAATGTTCAAAGAATCTGTTATGAAACTCCTTAAACCTGTTGTTTTTCATCGACCTAGAAGAACGGGTGTATATGTGTATCGGGCGCATGACACTTGAAACAATCTTTAGTATAAAATTGAAAAAAGGTGGTTAACTTTAACTATATAGTTAGTGGCAGAATTGATCAATCATAAATAATGTAATGTATTTTCTAGTTAACTACGAAATTACTTAAAATTGAGTTTTTAAAAAGAGTTTTATACAATCGGCCCAAGACATGCATAAATGAAACTAACACTCAATTTTGGCATACGGTTTCGTGCACGAAACTAAAGTTTCCATTGGCATTGGTGGAAATTAAGAGATAACCAAAACCTGTCATGCTTTCCATTAAAAAGCGCTTCGCAGCCCCAACACACTTACATGTTTTGTATGCTTTTTAGAGGTAGGAAGACGTTGCTGGGCCAACTTGTAAGTTGATTTGAAGAAATGTCCCTTAAAAATGAAATTTTAAAACATTTGCATGAAGTTACATGTATACAGCTGCAACCTCGTATACGATTTTTTACATTGTTTAAATTACTGCAATTCTATTTGATCCATCCATCCACATTCACCATATATAGATTCATCATGTTTCGGATCGTGTTACTCAATCTGGCTTCTTATATAACATTTGCCGTATAATTCAACTACTGCTGCTTTATTTATATAATTTTAAGTAAAATACTGAAGCATAGTCCTAGACCCAAATCCTTCCACCGACAATTCCAATTTATTTAAAGAAGGTCTTCATTATTGTCTCGCGCAAAAGATAGATTTTGATTTTCAATTATGTTAGCTTTTTAATTACATAATTTTTATTTATCTTTTTCCTAAAATTTTCACCTTTGTCCATTATATTTCTTTGTTTAGAAGTAACAATTATAGAATGAAATTAGATTTTACACTTACAAACTTTGCAGGTTATTTAAACCTTTGAACCAGTCTTGCTTATCAGGTTCATCATTCCTTATAAACGAAATAAAGCAAAAAACGAATTAGGCGTCAGCAAATGGTAAACATGCAGCAAGGGTAATGTAGCTGGTTGAGATACGATAGGGAAGTATAGATTTGGAGAGGCCCAATAATCTTAACTTGCAAGAGGTTGCGAATCGCGATCACCCATAAAAAGTAATGTAATCTAAAAGCCCGTACGTAATTTTTTATCCTTAATTCATGTGTGATTAGAAAATCCAAAATAACTACTCAAGAATTCTTAGCAAAATAAAAAGGGACGATTTAAAAACCACGTAGCTATACTAGAATTTCCGATTCGTTCACCCTCATTCACTTCCCCACATGCACGTCAGGAGAAAAAACAAGTTTCATACTTCGGGATAAGATACGAGCATATATTCATGCTATATACCGGATGCATGCGTTATTGATTAGGAATAGCCTACATTGAATTAAAGATCATATTTTTGTGATCATATAACTGGCGGAAGGTTGACAGAAATTTGTTTTGGGTGATCAGAGGGAATGCATGCTATATCTTAAGTTGTTAGAATCTGTTCTGCCCTTACTGAATTGCAATTTTTGTGCATGTTTGTATAGGGCCAAAGGCCTGCAAGTTTTGGTTTCATATGCATGCACTCATGCAGTCAGATCATTGATGAACATTTAGTAAATTAGCCTGAATTTCATCTAGAAATAGCTGATTTATACTTACTTCAGTTCGCCTATGATGAATTTCAAGTTATTGTTACTTAAATCCCTGCGGGTAGAAAAGTAGGTTTAAACTTATAGCGCCGTAATTTTCGTGACTAGCACTTTAGCCTACACTATACTCAATTTATTGGCACGGCACGGCTAAAATGGGTACCCGTGCCCATTTCATCCGTGCCCGGCCTTTGTTTTGGCAGCCTGAACACTAATAAAATTGGGCACGGGTACCCATTTTAGCCGTGCTGTGCCAATAAATTGAGTATAGTGTAAACAGGGCTTTTATCAGGGTTTCGAAAGGCAGCCGGAGCCGCGCTTCTACGTCAGAAAAAAATTCAGCCCTGGCCCGCTTGACAGCCAGTAATTCTTAAGTGAAATGTCGTTATCTTATGACATGCAGAGGCGTTGGATGAGTTACCATCAGAAAGGGTGCGTGCTTACCAGACGCCATCGTGCATGATTGGTGCATGCATGCCAATGGAATATATGAATGATTAATACTCTTAAAAGTCAGTGGTTTGACTAGTTGGCTGCATGCATACATTGTTAAGAAATGTTTCGGTGTTATTCTTATAGCTAGTGAAAAGTATACCTAATATGAAAATTATAGCTACATTAAACAATATCGTTCATCTCGTAAATGTACTGATTCGGCGGCACGATAAATTTGCATATTTGAATAATATGAAACGCTACTTACAATGTAATCAAACTTTTTATTTCAAAAACGCCATCGTGAAGCCATGCTAAACCATTTCCGGATAAGTACCTAGAAATAAATTTAGCGCAAAGTGAGATGTCTTTTCGAGTATTTCGTAAAAAATCGAAAAACTCTCTCTGATCTGCCCGCGAGGCCAATAAATATAACGTGCGGGTTAATTGGTTGATTGCATACATGCGGCAGTTCAGCTTTCCCAGAATAAATTAAATATACTTACAATGTCTCCAGGCTCTTAAAGTGTTTTAGAGAAGTAGTGTCTTGTATCCATCTGATTTCATTTCCCCTGAGATCTATCCTAAAAAAAATAACATAATAAAAAAATGATGATAACCCCAATGAAGATAACTGAGTTAGTTTTATGACGAAGCATTTAGCGAGTTTTAACTAAACGACATCATTCACATTCTGCTTCATTTTTTCATATGATTTTTTTCATTAAACATGGCATTTACTTTTACCCCCTACCTCCTGAATGCCGAATCAGTGTTCACAGATAGTGCAACTAGAGGGTTTTAGAGTAATTATAGCCAACACAGTAATATCAGTAATAACCAAGGTTGCAGTTTTGATAGTTCTATAGACAGTGCGCTTACAAGCAGACCGCATGTCTCTGCATGCTATATGAATGTATTTTTATTTACATGACCATCAATATTTAATCTAAATCAACAGGTTACAGGTACATGTATATACGTACATTTTGCATTTTGTATCATTCTTATCCTGCCATGGTAAATTTTTAAGCTTCTTGTTGTCCTCCTTGATACAATCGAACGCCCGAGTTGCATTCTTTTCAGTGCACATTTTATCTATCCTTTCGTCTGCAATAAATGAATGCATGCTAGGGTTGATAAAGTAAATTGAAGGGACATATGTATATATATATATATATATATATATATATATATATATATATATAATATATATATATATATATATATATATATATATATATATATATATGTTTCTTACCGGGAGATTTGCATCTGACGCCAACACCGGCATCGGGAAAAAGGTGTGAGCCACCGTCTCTCTTTTGACACCGCAAAATTGAGTATTCAGAGCCATTGCATGCTCTGTTCCACATGTGGGAACCCGGAATATTTTCAGGATAAATTTTGGGATCCTGGCTTTTTCTTAACACGTAATGATAAGCAGTTGTGAATTCTAACGCAAGATCATATCCCACTTCTCTGCAAACGACATTTGCATCTTCCATAGTCCAATTGGTGCTCTTCAATTTTTCCCAAACGCCTTTTCCTTTCTTATTAACTTCCACATGTCCCTGATACGTATCCTCCAAATCCCCGGAGCTAATCCTTACAGCTAGTGAGTTAAAAGAATTTGATACACGTCATATACGACGACAGTGCATGGTGTGACTAACAAACGTATAACTTATTCTCTCCACGCAATACTGGAGAAAAGGTCGCACAATTATAGTCTTTCTCAGGATGACGAATTAACAGCAATGTAAGAAGTATTTTTTAAAACTCCATAGAGCATTTGAACAATAAATGAAGGTTAAGCCTAAAATTAAAGACAGCTGCCCTGACAAGGTCTTGTGCTCACAATGCACAAGCTCTCTATGCATTGTGCGTGATATTTATGAACATCAACCTGGTTCATACAGTGTTAAATCGAATTGTGATTGAACAAATTGTTTTGCTCAAAGATTCTTCCTAAAAATATCATCCCTATATTTAGTATATATTAGCTTGACTGCGGTACGGGCCCATCTTAATTTCTGATGCGATAGAACATAAAGAGCATGCAGTTACTATTTCTCCGACGTCTTACCACATTCTTCCTTGACTTCAAGGTCGTTGTTCCTGAATTGACAAACCCACTCTTTATTAATTTTACCATATTTTCTCTTTGTCGTATTCTCCATACGTTTGATATTACAACAATCAGCATACACACTCGTGAATCTATAAGTGAAATTGCAATAATCTAATGTTGGCACCAAGTTAAATTATGGTTGTAATTTAGTTTATGTTTAGCTTTAGCGTAACAGAATTAGGATTATGAGTAAATGTTTACTTCAAAGCATTTACAGTGTATTTCAAAAAAGCATGCTCTTTGAAAAAGCACCCAATAGAACGATGTGCGCGAGATTCAGTGCATGCAAAAACGTTCAGCAAACCTAAACCTTAATGTTCGTTTAAGATCAAAGATACTAGCTTTTTCATTCGTAAGTATAGTTGGTTGTGAAAGCCGTTCAAAACAACCTTGCGCATCTGAGACACAATTCGATCACACTAAGTGATACAATTAATGCAACTCTGCTGCACAAACGTTTAATGTTGCATGAAGTATAATTTGGTGCACGCGTTGGCCAACATGAAATCTTTAAAACATGGATTTTCCAGCGTTTTTGTAAGTCAAACAGGTTTTTTTGAGGATTAAGAACTGAAAAATATATTCGACGTTTTTGAAGACCTGACGTGAGGGGAATTAGATGAAAATCAATATTACCTCCATGCAAGGGTAGATACATCCCGAGGGACGGTCAGAAGATATGTCCTGAGCGGAAGGTCAATAATTTATATAGTATATCGAAACAACGTCTAGACAGAGCAACCACATCTAGCTTGTGACGTTGCGATAATAATAATATACACTTAATGTACTCCCGAGGGAAATAGTGAGTTTTGTTTTCCCGGTATGAATGTTTCCCGAGACGAAGTCGAGGGAAACATGGAGACTCGAGTAATGAAACAATCAAATTTAAAATTCAAAGCACCTATATAACAATGGCTGATATAATCGTGCGCGATGCATATCCACGCGTGGTATACACGTAAACTCGAAGCCGCGGGATATTTGACTTTTTACTGTAATGTGGGGAAACGTCGATGGAACTTCATGATTAATTGACTGATCACGTGGTACAAATCGAGCTTTCTGATTGGATAATTAACAGATGAGATATATTATAGGAAATACACCGCTGGAGATCAAGTATCAGTGTATAATATACCCTGCATTGTAACTTAGTTTCGACGTCATATTAGTGACTGCATGTTTAGTTCTGCACGCAAGGGATTGTATTAGAATCAAAGAAACTTACATGAATTTCAGTTGCGTGTTTTCATAAAATATCCTGGGATTCAGAATAAAACTAAAATCTTCAGCATTGAGTTTTTTGATATTACGAATATTCCTGCAATTAAAATATATTTAATGAGAACGTTTCAAAAAAAGTCATTAATTTAATACTCATGATGACGTCAACAGACTATAACATGCACTTACAATGCTCTGAGGTTCTTCATTTTTTTTATCACCGGCCAATCTAAATCCTCGAGAGGGTTACCATTGACCAATCTAAAAAATATTCGCCACCCAAATTATTCCTTTATGAATATGTATGGTGTGCGTCGTACGACAATATGACAACTCCCCTGCATGCTCTCGATATCACTGCAATGCAATTAACGGTCATCATGCTGTTTACATGACTGAGTATTAATATACATTTATACTGTACCTAATTCTCACGAAACCATATCTGGTGTTGATATGCTAGCTGTATAAGTTAAGCACAGCAATCTAGAGGTTTTCCCGAGCCCGTGGACTTACTAATTTACAATTATTGAGCTTTACTAATTACAATTATTGTTGAATAATAAGATGAATGATTTAATATACATATGCTTTATAACAGATAGTTTTGGGACTAGTAACGAGAATGGGCGGTACGTGAAATTCACTGCATGTGCATAACTAATAAGCTCCCGCAGTCTGTTGCTAAGCACAAACCTTGGCAACCTAAGACTAGCCTGCGGTATGGCAAGCTATCGGTTTCTAACTTATGAATTATACTTACGTCCAAATTCATCCTCGAAGCATTCCTAATGAGAAAAGGGAAATGCGCTGGGGACGGGGTTGTTGGCGTCTACTTACAATGCTTCCAGTTTATTGCCATCTTTAATGTCATTAGCTTCAATCTTCCTGATTTTGTTGTTGGAAAGGACGCTGAAATTATCATATAGGGTTAAGAGAATAATATATTCCCATGTACCATGATCTCAGATCTATACTTACAGGGCTTTCAGTTCTGTGTTGTTCTCCAACAGCTTTTCTGGAATTTTTTCTATACTATTGCCGCTTAACTTCCTAAAATGAATAAATTTTAATATGATTTTCAAAGAAAAATTACAACATGAATTATAGCTCAATTAAAGAAATGATCAAATTCGTTTTGCGCTTCGGTTTTACGCACAAACGATGTGAGAGCCTTCAGATGCAACATACTAAAGAAATCTTCTGCTGAGAAAGAATATGAATGCACTCATGCACAGGGCGTAATTAGAACCATAATAATTTGAATATTCATATATTCAGTTCTGCCCGATGGATTTTAAGCAAGCTATTGCTGGATATATGAATATTGATTCACCCCGTCAATTATCGTTCTTGTTACGCCACTGCTCATGCTCCCCCTAATTACTGCATCTAGTTTCGGTCCTGGGCCACCTGGTGTATTAATGGTACATATATACTCAAAGAGCTTTTGGCAATTATACTGTATGTTTGCATCCTTTAAAGAGGAAACATCAAAAATACGTTTAATTAAACAAGAATTAGAATACGGTTTTAAACTTACAACACTGTAAGGTTCGGCATTTTCTTTAAAATATCCTCTGGTATCGCTTTTATTTTATTCGATTCGAAATCACTAAAAATAATTAAATGACAATTTAACAACAAAACGAAAAAATTTCACTTCCAATTACCAATTATGTACAGCATGCAAGTGAATTAACCAAAGCCCTCCTAGCTTATAACCCCTTTTCAATGAAAATATGCATTTTAAACTGAACATTTTAACAGGGGAATGAAAAAAGTTTTAATGATATCCATGCTATGTATATACGTGATTTCAACAGCAGTGACACAGCACTTGAAAGTTGAAAAATTTTTTTTCATGCAAAAAGCTGTTGGGCACTTTGCTGAATTCATGCAGAACAGTGTCGAACCTTCTGATTTAAAAGTATATCATATTTCTCAGTAACGATTTTCCACAACTTTATAGGACTAATTGGCAGGTATTTTATCGTATACCATGCATATATGTATGAGTGGGTTAAAGAATGGTTGAAGAGGGCCTTAAATAAAATCATTAAATTATTCTACAAATTTTAATATATTTAAAAAAAACTTGTTTAAGGGGAGCAAAATGGTGTGCATACATAGGGGACATTATATATACACACGAGGCTGGAGGGAGAACTTATACAAAACCACGTTAAATTAGGTTCCATTCCTAGGCTTATATGCATGCTGTAGATAAATATATATTTACATTTCTTCCAGTTCCTTAAGCGTACTCAAATTACTAGAGAACGCTTCCAAGTCTGGTATTAAATTACCTCGCAAATCTCTATAAATTATATAAGCAAATATTATACATAGATACACAAGTCGCTACCCCTTAAGATCCCTTAACTTAAGATCCTCATTATACCCAGCTGATCTGAGATCATGACATCATAAGGCGCCTCGACAAAGCTAAGTTATCATACGCCTGGCGTTATTTGTCCTTATTCTTCAAACTAATAGTATAAAAGGCGAGAAATTTAAATTCTAATTCACAGTTGGAAAAAAATAAGCGTGTTTTCGCCTAAATAAATAAAATTACTTGATATTTCGAGTGTCGAAGTCATATGAAATGAAGGAAATGATCATTCAGTTTTGTCGAAGATCTGGCTTCTGATTGTTTGATTTTTATACCCAGATCAGCTGGACAACTGATATCGTCGAATAAAATTATAGCGTTATAAAATAAGTTCATCCAAACGGAAGATTTAATTTTGGTTTACATATACCATCTTAATTATACTTACAAGAAATGCAGGGAAGAGAATTTTTTTACCAGTATTTCAAGATCTTCTTTAGAAAGCAAGATATTATTCTTATCCACAACCAACCTAAATGGCCCAACGTTAAAATGAGCAATAGAGTTGCTTCTTGAATGTGGGCTCTCCAGTGCATGGCTACCAATTTTAAAACCATGCAGGGGCAGAATTTTAAAAAAAGGCACATGCATTTTACCTTAATTAGCAATCACACGAAGTGAAAACTTTACAAGTACATGTGAACTTGCATGCAATTCCACGGGAGAACGCATTTTCAATAATATTATCTGTTAGTTTTTAATGCGGGGAGTACTATGGGGATCAATATTAAATGTTGAATGTATATTGCTACTAGTTACATGGTACTGATGGTATATAGCAAAGGACACAGGGCTGCCCCGCTCACCCCCATAAGCAAAGGGCAGTGGGAGCTGTATTGTAAGCAAAGGGCAGCTGCTCCCGCTTCCCCCATGATTCAGGCGCCCCCGCATGCAATGGACAATGACGTTGCCCACCATTCTCTAACTTTATATAATATATCCATGATTGGAACTGACGCAGCAATACTTGTATGCGGGGTTTGAATGCTAGGAAGAAAGCCGATTGTGCATGTAGTTCAAAGCTGCCCCTTAGCCTATTCATCCAAAGAAACTATATATACAGTTGAAAGTATTATATATAGTTATAATCCCTTTCAAACGTTTTCTGCTGCAATTTCAAATGGCAAAAATCGGTACTAAACGTGTGTGCTTTCGTTACAAAAGCTCGATCCCCAGGCATAAATAACAGAAGCTTAACGAATGATAACAAACGCATTTACGGTGTTTTAGCTTTTTTACATGTCAGCACTCGCATGGACGTATATATTCGACCATAGTAGTCGGCTTCTTAACCTTGTTAAATCAGTCCCACCAATAAATCACACTAACCTTCTAACTGTCGAGATAAATGTGTCGTTTACATCTGCTAAGAGCTCTTTCAGAGAATTTTTCTTCTTATCTCGGCAAAATAGAGTCTTGCTTTCGCACTCAATACAATCTAAAAAATTAACGTGTTATAAACACGCAGAAGTTGAAAGGCTAACATCTCGATTATATGTGACATTTTTTCATCGGTTCTTTTCCATTCATATTGTCTAATCTATTATATATAATACAGTGTTTTTAGTATTTTTACGATTTGGAATGCCGAAAAACTATTTACATTTTCATATTATAAATTTTCTTAGGTTAATACCTTCCTACTATACTAGCACATAAATAATATATATGAAACAAAAAAATCATCATTATTATATAAAGTATTATTAATCATGCAAGCCAGGGTGATGTTGTGAACCATTTTAAAATGACTTCCACATAAAATTAGTCAGTAAAAACTGCTTTTTCCGCATTGGAAGAATTTCGGGTGTTTTACATGGCTCAAATTGCATAGTTTAATTTCGTAACATCGCGAAAAAACTTGCATGGAACACCTGTTCACTATGCAGAAACCGATTAATCTTAAAATCATTCAAATTTTGCAGGTCGATGGATCGAATAACATAACCTTTCTGTTTGGCTTTTAAAACTTTGTAAAGTAAACTTTTAACTCACAATCATGAATGAATTTATCGGCTGGTCGTGCATTGCGTGAGTTTCGTATTGCACCATGCATGCAGGTGCAATAAATACTTCACATGCAAATATCAAAAACTGCGCCCTCACCTAAATACGGTCATGACATGCACAAGCCTCTGACACGCAAATGGCCAAAAAGTGTGTATAAAGCCGGTTTTCCACTAGCGATAATTTTCGCGCGAAGTGACATTTTACTTTTGTTTCAGAGCTCTCTCCTGCAACCATCTGGAACGAATTGCTCAAATACAAAGGAATAAATTCGCTTCGCGCGAAAAATATCGCTAGAGGAAAACAGGCATAACAGACTAATTACTATGGCGAATGTTTTAATTATAGAAAATTCAAAACTACAATGCACGCGTATTTCAGAGAAATTATACACGTAGAAAAAAATGAAAAAAATAGTATATGGATATACTGACACATGAATCATAATATACCAGTCTAAAAACTAAAGTGTGAGTCACGAATGCAGATACAAATGCATGCATGCGGTTATGAGAAAAATGAAAAAAAAACTTTTATGCCATCACTTGAAGCGACTGTCATCTCTGTGTAAAGACTGAGTCTTCACATTTTAGTTAGATTAAATTCTCGCGACACTTCTTAGTTTATAAAAGCAAGCATGCAGTCTTTCCGAAATTTGAACACGAAACAGCATGAAGTATATAGGTCTTCGTGCACGCATGAGTAAATGCATCATGCATGCTACTGAAAATTCGTAAATTTAAAAAAGTCATATGTATATAAGATTAGTCTAAGTAAAAAACAATAACAAATGCAATTAAATTTCATTTATTTCAATAATCTATATAATTATATGCATGCACGCACAATGTCATGCAGCTGGAAAATATATCGCAGAGGAATGGGTGTGGCGGTCGGTATAGCGCCAAGTAGATGATCCGATTATTGCGCGATAATATAGTCAGAGGTTAACTGTGTATACTCCAGCATTACCTGACACGTTTTAAGAAGTAATAGGTGGAATAACTATATATGAGGGAATACCAAGAGTAAGACATATTTCTACCCGCGATCAAGATCAAGATCAAGATAAGATTCAAAGAAAAGCCTGAAAAAACATGCACTCAAGACAGTATAGTTATATAGACCGGATCCTTTAAACCAATCTACTGTACATATATATATACATTACAGTAATGTTAGCCAAACTGCGAATTAATTTTTGCCTATATAGGAAACCAATATTTAGACAAATGAAGTAACAGAGGTCTAGTCACGGGTCTTTTAATTAAACGTTGAGCTAAATGCCAATTGCAGTAATAATTATCAATCTTCACAACGTATATGCATGCACAAAGTTTTATCATCGATGTTTCTGCCTGTCGCTAGAGTTTTTGCATTGCATGCATGAGTACATGAGTACATGAGGTGCTAAGGTAATAGTTTGTTTTGTTTAAAGCTTTCAACAAACATGTAAAACCAAAGGAACAGGCTCAAAAGGCTTGAAAAATAAAGTTATAACGAAAATGATCCCTTCTAAGAAAGCAAAATAAATATGCACGCCCAAAAATATTAGAGACCCATGCAACTGTCGCCACACATGCATGTGCATACTGAACTAATTTGGTGGGCAATATTGATATAAAGAAATTCAATTTTTGATCAGAATTTATTTATAATGTTGATCTGATATATATAATTACCAAAAAAGCTATAATAAAGGTCCAGTCGTTACTCACTTTGTGCGTTGATTTGAGTTCTGTAGTAACTGCAAATGGCTGTGACGCACAGAAGGATGATCGTAGCTTGCCTCATTTTTTTTGCCGCAACTGTCACGCTCGCTTAAAATGTCAAAAGAAATTTATATATCAGTATATATAATTATACTAAAGTAAAACTATATTAAAGATCTTTGCAAGTGAATCCATGGGCGTATATCTTGCAGTAAATAACTCAATATAAATAGTATTAAATATACGACCGCAATATACCCAGCACGGCTAAAGCTAGACTCACAGCGCGAACGCTTCCGCCGAAGCACAGTTGTTAAATCCCTTGACTCTGACCTACTTGGAATACTCTTTGACATTTCGTGGAGGAAGGAGGAAAAAATACATAAAAAGAAGTAAAGAACATTTACCTTCATGTGATAATTCGCGGTTATAGTTTCCTTGTTCGCACTCGAATCTTCTGACTTTCCTTCTTCAAGTTCAAGACACAACTGATGTTCGAAAATGAAAACAGGTGAACATCTGATCCGTCACTGACTATGAAATCAATGAGATACTTATACAAACATAAAGTTGACAGGCTAAATTTACAAGTCACGACTTCGTCGCTTCGCATGATTGGCTTTTCGAAGAACAAAACTTTTGGGGCAGATGGTCCGACTCCGTGATGCACTTGTGACTTGTCTGTTTCGTCGCCTTTCTTGTGCAAATGTGGATTTTCCCAGACAATTCACATTTTCTTATACATTTATGGCTTTTTACTGAAAACAATTGGCTTTTGTACACATGCAGCTAAGTCGGATATATTCGCGGGTTTATCGAATTATATATTACATTGGCACATTGCCTGTCAGAATATATACCTGTCATTTTATAAATTATATGTCGAAATATATATACTCTACAATCTCTAGGTTCTTTGAAAGCCATGCAGAGATATACGTCAGTTAATATTCTGCAAAATGTTGACGTGTATTCCAACAAAAGTCAAAATTATTTTTACACAAGTGGCGAAGATGTATAGCTACTTCATATATTTTGCATATTCATATAGGGCTTAATTTTGCTGCATTCATATGCACGTACTGCGCATTTCCAGCTTGCCATTGAGTACCACTTGAAGATGCGCGTCAGATATCTAGTATGTTCTTGCATGTTTATGAGTTCAAGATCAATATACTTCTATTCTTTATTATTCAACCGAAGCGTCTATATTGCAGTGTTTTTCATGTGCCATCACACTATACCATTTATTTATATATACTGTCGAAAAATTATCCCAATCATGTAAGAAGGAGTGTTTTGGGGAACGGAAAAAGAGATGCTCCAGAAAATTCTAGTCATTGAGTTATCTCAGTGGAATTTCTTGATACAAAAAATTTTTTTTGAGCATGCACTCATCCCACAACGAAGATATGGCAGCCCTTCTTTTGCCCGCAGCCCCCCTCCCATCCTCCTTCCTCTCCCCTCTACCAATCACCTGCTCAACAGCAGTGACTTTTACTTGTATCTGAAATTAAAGACTTTTCTTCAAAAAACCCTGAACATTAACACAGACATGCAGACATACAATTATATTATCTGCATTTGCATCATTAACAAAACCTAAAGTAAGTCCCACCAGCCTGAGTGCATGTCGAGACGTTTTCTCATTCCATGAGGAAAGAGGATGAGTTTTGACATGTCGTTTCTGAAGCCTGAATGTCATTCTCTCATGAGGGTAACAATACTTTCCTTTTGTATTTCTACTGAAAATACGAGAGAAGAAATATGCACACAAGTATAGAGCTCTGTCACAACGAATATCTGTGCCATCTCAGTAGTTACGATCCGAAATATTTAAATACTCTTATATGGCAGGATTATTATTCTAAACGGAATGATATCAGTTTTATTTATAATGTAACATACATTGGCTGGGGGGATCAATTATGGTGCCTTTACCTTGCTGAAAGAGATAGATAAGACTGGGCATGCAGACTCCGTTCCATAAAAGGTAATTAATTTCCTTTCCTTTTGAATCCCAATGTCCAACGAGCCTTTGTAAACACACACTCGTATGACTTGCAGTTTTAGTTGCTTGAGGATAGCGATAAGTAAACAAGCCTCGGACACTCGGCTGTGATGTTCATTTTCTCCGAATATCAGTCGGACCCGCGTTAAATATAAAAATGCCTAGCAAAGCAAAGCATAAGCGTCTTACAGTCCCACAAAGAGAAATCTAGTACTATTCAAGGTTCAAAAGTCGCGTGACGAATCTAACGGTGCATGTGTAGTCGTTTGTATCTCTTAAACATTTTGTGCTCCGTTCTTACGGAGCTGTTTCCTTTAAATTTGTTAATGAAAGAAAACAAATATGAGTTACATGCACTCATGAAGTGCTAAGACTAGTGAAATAAGATTTGGCCGCTGAAAAACAGACGTAATGTGCCTGCATGTACAGTATTCTCCCGCTAGCTCGAACTCCCAAGGGTAAAGAAAAATTGTTCGAGTTACCGGGGGTTCGAGTTAACCGGGGTTGGTGTTATAGGTTACGTCTATATTTACGTATATTGGATTGCCGCAGTTCATGCCTTTACTTCCTAAAAAATCCTGCTTGATATAATTATGAAATACTGATTCTTTAAGGCCCTGTTACCACTACCAGAAATTTGCGACATGGTGATTTGCATATAAACTAATTTGCATATAACTTTCAACAATAATGGCCTTCAAGGGCCTCCACAGACTAGCGATTTGTGATCAACAAGACGACAACTAAATAAGTCCGATAAAGGATTCCACACACTGGCGCTAACAACCGAAATAGCGCGGATAATAATAAAAGTACACTAGAAAAACGCCAAAAAATGAGGCCATCGACAACTATATTTAGTTTGAGTTAGCGAGGAGTTCGAGTTAAGCGAGTTCGAGTTAAGCGGAGTAAATTACTATAAAGAAGATTACGAAATCCAAGAGGAATTTGATTTAGTTCGAGTTAGTTAGGAGTTCGAGTTAAGTCTGTTCTCCACTAGGTGAATTTGTTCGCGCGAAAAGATAAAAAGTAGGAAGCGATTCTACTTTTTCGCGACGAATTTTTCCGCAAACCACTCACATCACTGGATTTCGATTTAGCGGGGGACTACGGGATTAAAATGGTAGCTATCAGCAATGCTATTTGCCGTTTAAATCACCAAAATGTGTTGCCGGATCCATAGTAGAGTAAATTTAGCTGAGATAGAATTTATGTGTCAAATTCAAGACTTAGTAAAATTTTAATTTTTTTATGTTTAAATTTTGGGGACCGACGAGTAATTTCACCTGCATGACTCTTGAGTAAATTAGGGCGTAATTTCTGCGCAATTTGGAAAGGCTGCAACCCCCCGGATGGTAAGATGTTCGATATTCAAAATTCAAGCTCTAAATAGCTAGGGTAAAGATTCAGTCTGGGTTGTAGTTATTAACCCCTATTATACTCCCATTGAATAGGAGTGTATTACATAGTTTAATATTAAATTTTATTCAATAAAAGATTAGATACACAATCAGATATAAATTCTGAAACTATACTCACACTCAATGACAAAGTCGCAAAACGTTTCAACGTTCCACTGGGAGAATAACAAATTATACTGATGAAGATCTCAAAACTATATGGCTATGATACTATTGCTCTTGATGTCTATCTTTAGCTCTCTATAAAGAGCTAGAAAACGTTTCTTGGTTAGCCACCTACAGCTGCATGGGGCAGCTATGATTTTGTAGGCCAACTATAGGTATATACTACCTAATTTTTGTACTTTCTACTTTTACTATTAAATGCGTAAACCTTCCTCGAATGTAGCGAAATTTGGTGGTATACCCGCATACCCGCAGCTTATTTGCAACTCTGTACAGTGTTACAATGAATGTCAAGTACCAACTCTTTCACTATTTACCATTCTATTTACAAGTATACCTATCGTAAACATGCTCGCATGTGTCGCAATGCACGCGACAACACCAGCGAAAACGGCAATTGCAAAACCGTTTCTCACGTGTGATCTGCGTGTTATACCCATGGCCACAGCACAATAACGCACAGCTGTTCATAGACTCCCCGGAATCTCTCTGACATTCTCTCCCAGACGTTCCCGAAATTCCAATGCGTGGATTTGAACGGCAATAATTCGGCGAGCGTTTCATGTAGACGAGCTCGTTTTCGCCGAGTCGAAGTTTTCTGTTCGCCTTTCTCTTTAATTTGCGCTTCCTTCTTGCGTATATTACCTCCGCAGCGTTCTCGTACTGTTTCTTCAACATTTTACCGACTTCCTCAAATTTCGGTAGTACCTTCCAGCAAGAGCGCATAGCACAGCCTTGCGATAAACCGTAACAACGACAGCGGGTTTTCACCGATGCAAGCACAGCCTAAAGAAATTCAATCGTTTAGTTTTTGGCCCATCGTTCCGCGGGAATTTTTTTTACATTTATCAAAACAAAGTCCTTTGAGGTGCATGTTGCATGGGCCCTGGGACAATATGACGGCTTCGGTCGGTTTAGTCTCAAATTGTCCTGTCTCGTGGAACTTGCATGGGGCAGTTACTCAATTACCTCAATATAAAAACATTGATACCCGTTTTGTTTTAGTGAGAATGTATAGAAAAGGATTTTGTTGTTGTTCAGCTAGGGATGAATGAAATTCTGAAGAAATTCTGATGCTTGACTTTTCCATGGCGTTTAATTTGGTCGATAAAACTATTTTGCTTAAAAAAATGTACAAATTCTGAAGTTGTTTACATCCTATAAACGATCACTTGTCTGCACCTGCAACAATAATCTCCTTTTCGACCTTTTCATGTACCGAATCGAATGCAAATTATTAAAGCCTGTTCTCCACTATAGGCGGTATTTTGCGCGCGGACATATAAGTAAAGACTTCAGCTGATTAACATTAGCTTCAGTACATGAAATGTTCCACGTCTGAAAACTCCTAAGAAATGTTTCCTTGTAAGAGGATTTACCAATGCTCTGTCCCCAGATGTGTTGTAAAACATAAACCTAGGCTGTTTCCTATTAGGCGGAATCTTCCGTGCAAAGCGCAGCTTTTTAGGAGATCCTTTCAGGTGCCGCCGACGTTGGCCAAAAAACAAAATAGTTCCCAAGCTTCCCTTGAATCAATAATAATTTACCCTGAGGCTGGTCAACCGTCAACGATATTCTCGCTTAGTGTTGTCTTTGACCCAAAATTGGGAAAAGCATGCAAGATGTTTCTCAGTGACTCCATGCGGGCTTTGGTGAGAAATCAGGAAGATATTTTTCATACTTGCATACCTTTATTATACTTCTACACCAATTAGTTTTTTTTATGGTTTTTGTGTTTGTTCAAATATTTATTTTTTAATCACGGTACGTCCAGTTTTTCTGCATGCTATCGGGATCCCGCATGTCTTCGCGACGTTCTGTTTAATACTATAATGGCTTATAACAACCATTCCAAATTTTCAGCCAAGAATGTATTTTTCAATTTTGACTCACGTGCAACGAAATCTAAATTTTTGGCTGCATGCGCATGGTTCTTCGTTCTTGAAGGCTCTAATAGTCTATTAGCCTCTAGTGGAACTTGCAGAACTTCTTGCAATTAATTATACTCGTATAACAAAGACATGCAGCGGCTCATGAGACATTATTTCACATCTTGCTCCGTTTTCGGATCGTTGGGTTGCATGCCACCCATTCCAGCATGGGGTTAAATACGTAATACAAATAATCAAACACACAGTTGGGAATGCAAATCCGATCAGGCTTACGCTGTTGTAGTTTAAACAACTTGCTGTGTGCTTTGTGGGATATTAATTGTTTCGCCTATACCATGGGAGTAACGCGCTTGTTTTGATGATATATATTTTTAGAAGGAAACGCGTCAAGCCTTTCCACCTGTCGCAAATTTGCGCGGTCGACCGCTGTGAAAATGCGTAACTTATAACCTAAAAAGGTCCTTCAGTCAGACGAACCCGAAGAATTATAAGATATTATGATCTAAATCTGGATTGCTCACATTCCATTTTCTTCCCCAAATCAAGGTCAAGTTCAACAGCATATCAGTGGTACTGTCTGTCTGCACTGGCTATTTCACATAAACATGAATTGTGGGCACATACCCGCGTACGTATATCAGTGCGCGGACAGTGTTGTTGGTCTTTACAAAACGCTAAACCTAGCATCAAGATGTTCACATATCTTGAGCATCGTGCATGAAATTTGGCTGCAACGTGCGAGGTGTAACATGAAGTTATGCCCTTAAAGTGAACACGCCGCCACCTCTCGCCACCAGTGTTTTGTAAAGTTTCTAAAACGAGTTTCAAGCACTCTGAAATTCAAAAAAGAACTCATCGAACAGCCCAAAATTAAGTTAATGTATATATAATGACTTTTCGTTATATTGAGAGGCACAAGTATAAGTGCTCAAAGTGCTCGTTTCTATATTATGAATGGGAGTTTTTACTAACAAACTGCTTTTTTAGTCAAAAGTTACAGAGGGAATACTCTCGGTATTATTATTAGCTGGTTTTTTAACGTTATTTATAAATTGCATTGTGTACTGGAAAACATAAATCAATCTCGACAGTTGCATGGATCCGTGTATATTGATTGCACTTGATCATATCACGTATACTAACTAGCACCGACATGCACTTGCATGTACGACGGTATCTTTGTCATAATATGGTTGTATTAAGGCGACGAGTGAAATGAGCACCAAGCCAGCGCCGTGCTACGATTTTACTCCAGTGATTTATGTGTTCAATATATTGTATTAAAAGCGCGGCGTCCAAGTCCAAGATCATTCATTTAACACACGCATTTAACTTCATTTAAATTAAATAAATTGCGCTGACCAAAATCGCTGCGTGTGTCCGGCGTGTGCAGGAATACCATAGGCATAGAAAGCCTTCCCGAAGGGCAAGCCCTATGAAATACCTTTGGCATGTAAATGTATATGACGGAGTTGTTTTAATTTAGATCGGGATTTTTAAATTTTATATACCGCGTGCGTCGTATTAAAATAATTGACTGTCGGGTTTACAGCTTTTAATTAGGATTAGTAAATATTCAATATCCGCCAGCGATTTGCTTGCTTTATTTTGTTTAGATAACCTCTTAAAAACGAACACACGATAATTGGTTAAAGAGAGAAATTCCACGTCTCAATTACATTTCCATGCCTTAAACTGCATGCCTTTGCAGCTGCTAACGAACTTTAAAAAAAAATTGTGATACTTTATTAAATAAATTAATTAATCGCTAGATATCTGTTGCTGTGTTGAAATAATCGTCTAAGCGCCCTTTCTCTGATAAAAAAGGTGATAACATATTAGCATTAAATTGTCTTCAATCAAAATGTCAGCGCTTAAAACATTAGCATATACTCCGTCTGAATTAAGGCATTATACATCGCATGTTTAATCTGAATATATAAAGTTAAGGGGAAGAAGATTGTCATAATATAACAATAGAGTTGATGTTTGCGGGCATAGATGTGGTTTTGGACCGACTCTGAACTCATTTTAGCCCGAGCGATGCAATGTTGAACTGCAATGTTGTAATTCGCAACATTAGGTCTTTAGCTAGGGCTGGTTCAATCTTCTTAATCACCGATTGTCGGCGATGTATTGTTGGTAGCCGTGACCAAGGAGATTTATAAATGCAGATAACAATTAAAGCACTTCATGCTTTAGTGGTCAGCGACAATAGGCGTCGTCGACAGTCGGTAAGCTATATAAGAAGCAGGCTTAGAAAGGTCGACAAGGTATTGTTAGTGGCCTGTGACGATCGAAGAGGTTTATACAAAAATTAAAGGCTTCAATGATCAACGACAATCATCGACAGTTGAAGACCGATATGAAAAATTTATTTAAGAAAAAACACACTTTAATAACTTTATTTTCAGGTGATCACAGCGCAATCGCCAACTGTTGATTACTTGTAAGAACCATGCAGGCTTTATAGCAGTCTGACATTGCCACAGCGAATTAATACAGGTCCCAACAAATGAAAGTATATAGCTAATCATTACCTTTCTTCCTGCCCTGGAGTTGTGAAGATTCACTAAGTTCTGACCGCTGCGACGAACTGTTTTCAATCTTGCTCGCTTGTCATTATCCGGTGCGTCAACGAAAAGTTCTGCGAACATCATACCGTATTGAATGTTTTCATCACAACGTGCTTTCAATCGTTTTCCATAATATTTGTGAACTGGCTTCTTTTGACATGCGCAATCTGGTAAGTCTCCGGCTGTACAGGACTTGGTGACAGCGTAAACCACAGCGGCTGAAGTTAACGCGTACACGAAGGCAGTTTCTTTACTTGCTGTTGAAAGAGAAAATTTTTGTATGGTAAAAGGCCCTCTTTCACTTCTCGGAAAAGGCCAACTTTCAAGCTCGCTGCAAATGCTTGTATATAATTAAAATCTACACATTTCATTGAACGAAAAGCGTCGCGGCGAACGCGGCTGTAATTGCAAGAGGTGAAATTTATTTAAGCTGTGGATGCATATGCCGGACTACTCATGCAGTATTTATACGAAAATTAGTCGTCCTCGGAAACCTAACTACCAAAGTCAGGAATCGTCTTGGGCGTTATCGTACTTTCAAAAGTAGACTGGCATTAATATGCAATAGTAGAAACTATATAGTTACTGAAATTTTCTCAATTCTAGACTATAGAGAATTTATCTAATTAATGTACGTACGTAATTAAATGAAGATTCATATCAACAGTTGCATAAAACGCTTGGCGTCGTTTGAGTTGATACAATAAATCACTTTACGAGTAAATTAAATTTATTTTCACTTCCGTATAAACTCAACTATAAAAATACATCAGTTGCTGAACTTTGAGTTTCGATTGTTAGATGACTCGGAATGGCTGATTGATGACAGTATGAAATTTTTCCGTTTGAGTGTGATCTTTCAACAAAAACCACCTCAATTGTGCGAGACTAATTGAAAAACACAGTACATACATATTTTGTGCACTAGATTTTTGTGTTTATACATAGATGATAATAATTCTTGCTCGTGTGATCTCACTTCAGCAACGGCCTTGCTAGTAAATGAACAGCTGTACGTGCTGTTGTAGAAAAGTTATTGTCGTATTTAAAACTATAGCCATAGGACATTAATCATGAAATGATGCACACTCTGTGCACGGCTTCCATCCATCAGAAAATTCCACTTGTGCACAACCGGATAACAGATTGTGTAAGAATCTTCAGCATAGAAATTCGACTATTTAAACTATCCACCCTCTGGTTTCCACCACTGCCCTCGTACTATAAAGCGACGTTTCTCGTCAATATATGGTTGGTACACAAGTATTTGATTTAAGCATTCTAGTCCATCAACAAAGTGCTGATTTCTACGAGGGGGTGGAATCCAAAGAGGTTATAGGAAAAACATATTGCAACATAATGTCACAGTTGACTGTGATTATATGTAAGACTAAATCTGGAATAACTTGAATTACTTGAATTGATTGACAGTGATAATATCGTCACGAAAACGAAAAAACGAGAAAGGTACGAGAACGAAAAGCACGCGCGTTTTGAATGCTTGCTTGAAAACCATTTGAAAATAACTTCATGATCTCATCATTTTTGCCTTATCATGCGGTATATGGACTAATCCACGCAACCGTTCCATTATTTTTGAAGCGTTTTTTTCCCGGATTTCGGATTTTGGTATCGAAGAACGAGGATATTTCTAAGATTATATAGGTGCGATAACATTCATCATTAAAAATTGATCCTATTATAGATTTGGTGCCGGGTGATGAAATATAATTTATCGCAGATTTGAATCAAGTTATCAAGATAAACATTTAGGATTTCCACACAAAAAATCGGAACATATGGGAAACAGTGGTTGAACTAGGAGTACATACAAATAAGCATTCAATAATTTCCAGCTGCTGTTAAATACGAGCTGCATGAAATACTCGAACTGACCACCTGATCCGACTATATATACTTTTCATAATTTATTCTGAGGTCAGGTCATCTTACGACTTAGTCATGCTCTGTAAGAGGGTGTTTTGAATCACGTGGAGGTCGTCGAGGAGGTATTCTGCGCGTTTTGCATATTGGCTTACTCGAATATTTGTTGAATGTTGGGACAGCTATTCTTTATACAAGCCGTCCAACCTCTTCACAGCTGGGGTCTGTTGGATACAAGCTGCTCTCTCCGAAAGCTCACAGGAACTTAACAAGATTTCATGCCAAAGCGTTCATGAAAAATTACTGTCATATGATTTGTCAATATAACGTTGTGCTGCCACTTCGCGGGCCTTACTACCGTCAGTGAATTCACGGGTGAATTCTTTGCTAATCTATGTTAATTGGTTCTTCCCAGTTTTTCAAATGACAATTGCATGCAACTAATAGGTCTGGTTTGGTTTTCTCGTTTGGACAGGAGAATCTAAATTAACGTAAACTCCCATACCATTATATCATATGGCACAATTACCTGATTTCCCCGCTATTACGCTATATCGTTATTAGTTGAGATTGTGGTGTCCAACCAAGGAACAGGAATTAATTTTTGATGAATGAGAGCGGCATAAAATGCTCTGTTCGTCGGAAAAAATACATGTTTGCCTGGTTTATGGTCTAAACCAGTCGAGCTGTTCGTCGCCCCTGGCGAAAATTTAACAACCGCGATCGAAAGTACGATTAAGTGGGGTTTTCCGTTTCGTCTGCGGATTTCTCCCCAGAAGATAAACATTTTTCAACAATTGGAGTGGCTAAAAAATCTCCATCAACGAGGACTAAGAAACCATTATACTTGTCAGGAATTTTTGCTAGCGGCGTTCAGAACCGGGTCAGAATTAGAAAGGGTGCATCCTAATAATTCATTAACCCTGATTTTGAAATCGCAACATTTTACGAGATAAGCCATAATCTATAGGGTGGTTAGTATGTGGCTTGCTTTATTAACTAGGTCGACTATAACTAGTTAGATTTTGAAGAAAGCACTGTCTTGTAATTACGTTGAAAAAAATAATTCGCAATATCGTAAACGCTTTAGCCTTTAGAGCGTTTTAACACCTCACGAGGCTTAAGTTAAGACACCAGATTAATGGACTATGCGCTGATTAGTTATTCACCGCCAATTTAGAAAAGAAGAGAGGATGATGATAATAAAATCATTATCTGGGTATTTTAATGCCTTTCCCAACAGCTAATAGTAAAGGCGTGAAAGAAAACCCTTAGATATCAAAACAAAGTCATACATTTGGAGCTGTTCGTTGTGTAACTGCCTTCATTTATTCATGATTCAGTCATCAGTGTATCAGTGCGTGATCATGTCCGTGAAATATTTATCAGTCAGTATATTGTTCCTAAATAGTACAATGGTTTCATCACCACCATATATAATTTTCACGCATCTCAGCTATGGTTGCTACGATGCCTCAAATCACATGAATTTTATGAGATTTTCTTCCGAAGCAATCGAATAAAACACTGGCGTCAGTTGCAAAAGTTTAATAAAAACTGTCAGCATGAGTGAGATTGGAAAATTTTGGTGCGGTAACAAAAAATTTACCCTCATTTCGCAATATGTCAATAACTTCATTTAAACGATTAGTCGATTAAAACCGGCTCAAGGCCATTTCATTGAAATCTCGTTTAAATTTAAATGCTTTATTTCACGATGGAGTGCCTCGCTCGTTCAATAATTCTACCGCTATACCTCCCTCTTAAAACTAGAAAGCGGATTTGTCATCAAATATTTACCTTATGCTATACGTTTAACTGATCGTAGATCGTTATCGACCCAAATTAAGGGTAACTTGGTATTTTTTATGGCGTAATCATCTAATGTGAATCATCTGAGCTTCGGGAAGGCAATTTACATGACAGTATGACCGTAAAGATATAAATTGAAATGAACCCGGGCTAGTTCAAACTTACGTATGGCGAGCAATCCCTTCAAAGCTGTTGCTTCAGTCATCGTTGCGCAATCCCATCGTTCTTTACTCAACTGTTTCTTACACTCCTTCATTGCCAGTAACACTCCCTTTCTGATACTGGGAACAACCAATGGTTTCGACTCGCATATTCCCAGCTGCTCTGTCACAAAGCCGGGTAGTTGAGCGCAAACAGTGGTGTTCATTTCGACTGGCGCCTGTTCCATCCCGACCGACGCGAATTTCGTCCACCTGACGAAAAACAGTTAACTGAAAAGTTTGTTGGGCTCGCGGTAGAAAAAGCAAAAAGTCTGGAAGCGATAATGAAGTAAAATTGCACAGGAATGTTATAATGAACAGGGAACAACTCGGAATTTTAACTTGACACTGAACTCGCTATACTTTCCCCAACGATGACCTTCCTCAGCAAAAAGTCTCACGCCAAGTAGAAACGCATCGGCAGAGAGTTACCGCTCATCAACAAATTAATGAAAGACAATGCGTTTCAATGTCGAGCCTTTGCGTGAAACCGTATTAACAAAAAAACGAAAGGCGACATGTCCTCTTCATTGACTGGTCGTATTAACAAATTCTATTAACTAATCGGTTATTTAAGGACACAAATTTGCATAACACGCGTATTTGGGTAGTTAAACATGATTAAAATGGTTTTCGACTTCGCATCGGTAAATAAATGCAAGAACCGTAGATCATCTAGAATAACCCCGACGTGATACATGCAGCGCAATTGAAAAACAATAGCAGATAAGATGGTTTATTCCGGTGTAATCATCATAATGCAACCTGCAAAATATTATTCAACAGCTCTCGATCAAAAATAGACTTTAATTCCAAGTTTTCTGCACTTTAGAAGTAGCTTAACGTCTGTCAAGAGCAGGCCTTATTAAAGCACTTATATTGCATATACGTCAGATACTATACGTCGATGTTATTGAATTATCTTCACGTTCGTTTTTTTTCATGTCCCGCGATCATAGGCCCATTTCTCCCACGATTTTTGGTTCAAAATGTTTCTTAGACTTCCTAGCTTGAATAAGATTAGCGGGAATTTAAAATATTTTTCTATACACGTCAAACTCTTAAGCGATAAGTAGCAGTTAAATATTTGATTATACATACAGTAAGCTCCCTCCTGTTCCAAAAACTTGTAAGACGAGCAACAGTCCTCCGACAAATGCCATTATTTTTGCTATGTCTTTCCTTTAAATTCGATGTACAAACTTATAGTATATGCGCCACACAGTTAGGTTCGCAAGTGGTGATATCGACTGTCCGCTTTGCCAATTTAAGGACTTCCCACGTTATAAGCCAGTATTTTGTCAGTCCTGTGCATTCCCGAGGTGATTGGCTAATTAATCAACAGAATTCTACCAAGGGGCCGTCCTGCGCTTCTGCTGAGCGAGTGTTAAGTCAGTGAATAGCAATGATCGAATGCTCATGCCAATAATCAAGTTATTTAAGTTTTGGAACAGTACACCTTCGTGTGAACTGCATATTTCTTTTAACGCCACGACGCAACTGCGTTTAATTCTACCTATCGGCATGGTAATTAAACTCCACTGTTTGTGAAAATTCCAAAGGTATCATGTGGTTAGGCCAATCTCGCTTGTTAAAGTAACTTCGATACATCCTTGTTTTACCGGATTGTTTTTTTACCTCTCATTTTAATAGTGCCTGATTAATCGTAGTTAAGATCTTATGTGATAATCCTCATTAGTTATGATTCAGGGACAGATGGTGGAAAGCTATATCGATTATCGAACCCTATAAACGATTTATATTGATAATTCAACACCTAAATGGAAAAAGGGTACTCCAATGGGAGCGTAGAGACGACGTGACCGCCATCTTTGGAACCTATAATTTCTTTTATAAAAATGATGTATTTAATTTGTACCGTCATGGCCGTCATGATGGAGAATTACGAGTGTAACTTTAAACAATGTCAATCAAATCCGTCATCGGCCATGCATGACTGTATGTACAAACGTAGTGTTGTTTTCGACGGAATAGTAAAAAACAGACCGTTGAAAGAAAATAGATAAGACAATTAAAAGGCCGTTTCTTTCGAGTGCTCAAGAGCGCAAAATTTTTTCTTCTTCTTCGGCGCCACGTACAAGATGGAGGTTCATCGCCATTTTATACCCAAACTTCCCTCATAAAGAATGGTCGGTCACCAGTGATCTTGGAAGCTAACCTTTACATGATTATAAAAGAAACGACCATTCTACGATAGTCATCGAAACCTCCATTCCACAACAGTCATCGAAACCTTTTTCCATGGCTTGAGCCGCTATATCACTTGGTAGCCCGAATTCATATCTTTGCCTGCTACCTATTTTCTCTATTTAACGGCGTCGTTAATTTAATGTTTAAAGTCGCCAGCTCATGTTTGGTTTTTCGGTAAAATGTTAATAATAATATATTTTGTTATCAGATGTTTCATACGCGGCTAAACGCGGTTTACGGTCGGGTTTTTTCTCGCTTTTGTTCTTTCTGTGCAGCCTGGATTCTAATCGACTGGGCGGTTAACAAGTCCGCGGGTTGTTTTGTACGCAAAATCCAGAAAAACTACGCTTTATACTGCGAAGAAAGCGGTAGATGTATTACGAATAATAAAGAGTAAATACTTAGAAACATACAAGATTGATTAATAGTGAGACTGTGAGAGCAGAAAAAAAAAGACTGATATAATTAATCTCTTTTATAACCTGTTCAGGAAATATACTTCCTCTTCCTCGATTTTCAACAAATCTAATGCATTTGCCTATGGGTATAACACAGTCACAGAATGCTACGTCGATGATACAAAATTATTTTTAGAATAAATGAACTGGTTCTTCATTTGTATATATATGCTGGACAGTTTTCTTCAAATTGCCTGTTGTGAAATCCATCCATCATATATGTCAACTCCAGTGCAATAAAGGGAAATTATTTTTTTGATAATTTTTTTATTAATTCCGAGGTTGGTTTATAACACCTATCTATAGCTAATTAACAATCTTATCTTTTTTTTTTAATAAGTGCGCCCAATTTTTAGATGATATAAAGATGCAATGATATATATATTTTTTTATCTTATCTTTTTTTTTTAATAAGTGCGTCCAATTTTTAGATGATATAAAGATGCGATGATATATATATTTTTTTATCTTATCTTTTTTTTTTAATAAGTGCGCCCAATTTTTAGATGATATAAAGATGCGATGATATATTTTTTTTATTTACAAAGTGTGGGCTAGGAGCCTATCAGAAACCATATGGCTTTTATTTTAGGCCCCTAGATTACTGAACTAAAATAGTTACTGCATGATTAATATAATGTCAGTTTGAATGTTATTTTTTTATATTAAAAAGATACAAAATATATAAAAATAGTAAGGATTATGATGATATAGACATGTTGATATTAATCAAAGTGTGAGAAGTGGAGCGTAATATCGAAGAGCAGAATATTGCGTCGGTTCGAACTAAAATATGATAAGCAGACAAACTATAGTAACCTATCACATGAAATTAATACGAGTATACTTGATAATTGACATAAATGAGATATACTTATTAAACTAAGAACTAGCATGCAATATAACAACTAAATCGATTTTAGTGAAAAACACTGCAGGGAACACTTAGCTACAAGTAAGTTTGCTTTATTTTTGCGAAAAGGCATGGCCACAGGGAAAGTTGAAATGTTCTGCCACATCCGCTGAGGAGGCCAATTTGGCGTACCAACAGTCAGAAATCGATCTTAAATGTTGCATAACTTGTAATATCTTACGTACGGGGCCTCTGCCTCCATAAATCATCATTTGAATCTAGAAAAGTTGGGCAAATTTTTAACGGAGTTCGACCATTTTTGCTGAAATCAGTGTTAAGTCAATCAGTGTTCAGTAATCAGTAAATCGGGTAATTGAGTGGTCGTCTAACTCGTTGTTTTTAATTCCTGACCATCATCCGCGTACTTAAGCAGGAAATTAACATAAACCGCGCGGTGACGTTGATAAATAGTGCAGGAAGCCAGGCCCGTTGTATAGACAATGGATAAACAATCACTGTTTTTCATTGCTTAGACAGATGTGTCGTATGATTCGAAGTTGGAACAACCGCGGCCTATATATATAGTTGTAAATATCGTTACTTGGCCTTTAGTCAATTTTTCTACTCGCGGCAATTCAGATTTGGAATAGTACATGATTTAAGTAAATTAGTAAATTAGCTTATACAAGCTAGTTTACTTATCAGTCATGTCACCATGCAAACAAGAATATTAGTACATGATTTATTTTTGGGAATCGTGCGAATGATATTCGCACCGTCAAATGATTTCTCAATACCAACATCATCAAAACAATTTGATAGGCCATTTTTTGCCACATTTTCGCATTTGTCAAACTTCATTTTAAATTACATTTGCCGATATCTCAACCAATATTAAAAGAATGCACAAAAAATTGTCATGTTTATTAGCACTACCTAATCAGTCGATTGGGTAGCAGCAGATGCGTGGCGAACCTAATGAATTTAAATGACTAGGTGTTGGAAATTGCTCATGTAACATTGGTCGGGAAAAGTTTTGAAATGCTAAGCCTTTAAAATCCAGAAGATATTACGTTCTTCAAAATAACTAACAGTGAATACTCTTGTTTCATTATTGCTTGTGATGCGAACCATAGCATTTTTGCATTTGGTCGGGTTCTAGATAGTAGACCTCCGCGCGGCTAGCGCATTTGTGTGTATTTCAATAAAGTATAAACTACATTAAATTGTGTGATCAGCAATCAGACAATCAGACAATTAATTCAATTATGTAGTTTGTTACATCTGATGTATATATATATATATATATATATATATATATATATATATATATATATATATATATATATATATATATATATATATATATATCTGGAATGATAACTTTGATACTTTAAGCGCGCGAAAAATGAAGCCTAACCCCCAGTCTTCCTACGCGGTTTGTACGTCAGTTTCAGTCCCCCAAACATCAAAATCACGCGGTTTGTACGTCAGTCTCAGTCCCTGAATGCAAACCGTTACACGGCCAGTATAAATTTGAATGCAATCACGA